GGTCCTGAGGGCAAGTATATGGCTCTCAGAGAGCATTGCTGACAGCTGAAGGTGATCTAGACATGTTTACTTGCCTCATATGCTGCTTCCGTTGCTGCTGCTGCAGCTGAGCCAGGAATTGGAGATAAGATGGAAGTCAAGCTGCGTCATGTAGGTGTTGATGGTTGCCACATCAAAAAGGTTGTAGAAGAACTTATAATACCACTGGTTGGACTTTCTCTGTAATGGTTTTGACTTTGTAAGCTGGTCTGAAAGGTCCATAAACCCCTTGCCTTTAATATAATCTATTATTATTGCTGATGCTTGGTCACAGACCTCCCCTTGGTGGTTGTGCAGCAGCTCAACCCTATCATATTTGTTTATTGTCCATCCAGGACAATGTTAACATACCAGTTGCTGTGCTCTGATGATCCACCTCTGTCAAGGGATATTCTGCCAAAGCTCAGTATCCCTAGGGCATGAAATTCTTCAAGCAATGGAGGATAGCAAGTTGTTGGAGTTGGTCTTCAATTTCTTCCTTGATGTCCTAGTCTGAATCCCTGAGGTCTGGCTGGTTGAGGGTTGATAGGCCTCATTCTTCTCCTTTCAACTCTCCATGGTCTTGAAGAGGTAAAGAGGATGTTCTGGGGCATCCTTCATGCTGCTTAGGCTCCCTGTAGAGGTTCATGGCTGGGGATCATGTGGGTTAACACATTCTAAAATAAATGTACAGCAGGTGTATACCTTTGATGACTTAGAATGTTTTGTGAAAAGCTGGCTAGACATTATGAATTGGACGTCTGAATGGCCACCCTCTTTATAGACTCAGTCAGGTCAATTCAAGTCTCTCAACTAATACCCAATCAGGTCAATCTATACCATGTAGCTAATGCCAAATCAGGTCAGTTTACACGCAGCCTATATTGATTAGTCGTGTGGCACCTTATACTACCTACCCCCTCCAGCCCTCTGCCCTAGACTGCTTGCACTCCTTCACAGCCACCCAGTCCCATCCAGTCACCCACAGTAACCCCCTATATCCCCCCACAACCCTTTTACTACATACCCTCTTCCACCATACGCCCTGGACATGCCCACATCCTTAACATCTGGACCAAAACATTGCCATTAGCATATGCTGACACCTGGCATCTGGTACATTACCATGTTGATATTAGTTCTAATTGTAGTGTTTCAACTAGTCTTGAGTTTATATGTGTTTCCATGGATGATATGTGATCTGTTTGGTAAAGAAGCTAGAATCATACAAAGGATAATCACTTCTTACTTGACTATTCCTACACCACAGCAAAGTATTGTAGTAGTCCTCTGGGCAGATTTACACACCACAAGACTTGTGGGAAATAACACACAAGATATCGAGCATGCTACTGCAAGCTGAAGTTGCCCCGGCACATGTGTAGTAATGCAAATGTGTCCTTGCCTGAAAAATTTGGCCATCCCCAATTTTTATATGTTGATTAATCTTAAGATTTGTTTGGATTCAAAGTTTAACTCAACCGCTACCTTATGTGATGGTCCCATGATTGAGAACAGCAACATATTTTTATTTATTTATTATTTATTATTTATCTATATATGTATATAATATCTATGTGTACCACAGTGAATACCTTTGTTTTTCAGTTAGCAGAGTTGCTAGCAGCCCAGAAGCAGCAGGCTGAGAGGGAGAGAATTGAGTTGTTGCAGAATTATATGCTTCAACAACAAGTTTACCAACACCAAATGGCTATTAGGTAATAAACAAATTTGATTTTTTAAAATTGACATTAGAATTGCACAATGCCATGTATAGTAGATCCTCTTATAACCTGGTACCAGTGACTGGCAATCTTCCATATCACTTGTTCAGTTTTTCCATAATGAAAGATAATTCCTAAAGGAAAATGGAAAATAGCAAAAAAGCTAAAATGCATATGCATAAAAGAAGAAATAACAGTGAAAATAGGAGGCATAGAGTATTGTCACCAGGCATGTGCCTGGCCTACAAGCTGTGTACCCGACAGACTGGCTGTTCACATGCACATGATGCAACTGGATCTAAGGGGTTAACTGTTCAACAGCGTACCTGAAATAAGTTACTAATCATCCTGACCAATGTTCACACAGTTGATCACAGTTGAGATGCTCACCCCCAGCAGATTAGGACTAGATTGCCAGTAGATTATACTTATTATGTGCACTGCTTTAGTGAGTCAGTATTCCACCACCTATCCTAATATCTGCCAGTTTGCATTAGATTGTGAGCCAACTACATTTTAGGTTGATATGTTGCACTACTGTTTCTTTGTCAGGAGTGCACATAATGGGAGGATCTACTCTAATTCCAAATCTGCACTTATTGGAAGTATACATTTTGATACGTGTTAGAGCATCCATTAGATCACTTAGTAAAAAGGAGCAGATATGAGATAATCACAAGAAATTGGAGGTTAGCAAGAGAAAGTATTTGATGTAATAAATAGGTGATGAATGTCCCTGGTATATATGCTTTTGTATAATTTAGATGATTATGTACAGCTTACAAGCTTTCTCAGACTTTCCACTTTTTGAATCAAGTAATGCTATACTTAAGCTTTAGGAGGTATAATAATTTATTTAGTTATAAATACTTTTGCAACAGTCAGATGATTATCTTACTCTTTAGAGGCATGAGATACTTATGGATAAGTGTCTTAAATTCATAAGCTCTTTGAGGTTTTCCATTGCTGAAAACACCTTTGGTTTGCAGCCGTCAGCAGGTTCTGCAGAAGCTTCAGAGCATGGATGAGTGGAGCAGCCTCAACCAACTGCAGCAGCAACAGCTCTTCATGCAGCACATGATGAATGTGCTGCCGGCCCATCCCCCTGTGCCCCCCACAGTACCCCCCTCTACCACACCCCCGGCAGCGATACCCACCACAACTCAGGTGTCAGCGGCCGGGCCTGATCCTAGAGTCATGCCTGGGCATGTACCTCCACCCGTCTCCAAACCTCAGGACCCCATACAAGCTTTGGTTGCACAAATGGTAAACCAAAGGGGCTTCAGGGACATTTTGCCCCAGAAATTGCTTTTGGAGATTGAGTACTTGGTGGACAGAAATGCCAAAATCTTGGTGTCTTTCTCTGAGAATAGTTTGAAAAGTAAAGATTTTGTTTATACAAATAATGTGTCTTAGTAAAATAAGATAAGCACAGCCATCGACAGAAGGCAATTAAACATTCACTCATAGTATGGTGCTTTTCTATAGCTAATAAAAAGGCTGTAACTAGTCTATTCTGTCCAGGAATCCCCTTACAGAGTGGGGAACTTCCCCAGCTGTGAAGGGTACCAAGATGAAAATCCATGCCTAGAGCGGCACAGAGTGAGGATCGCTGTTTTTTTTTTTTTTTTTTTTTTTTTTTTTTTTTCTTCTCCCCAGTTAGAGAGAAGGGAAGGTGATGCCAAACAAAAACTAGTATAAATATTAAGAAACTTAATACCTGAAAATAACAATAATGGATGAAATCGACAATCGTACTGCTGTCAAGATTGTGTCACTATCGACAATTAAGAATATTTTACTTTGTTTCAATTATATTATTTGTAGTGTCTTCTTTCTTGAATATTTTCAGTTGATACGCGGTGATATTCGTAGAATCCAGGACTATCTTCGATGCATAGTTCCTTCCCAAGGTTATTGTAGCCCCATAGATTATTTCTAGAAAAACATTTCTCCTTGGGAAATACTGTGTAGTGTAACTATTCCCAGCCTGTGGGTGGCAGTCACTCTGCATGGGTGCCTGGGGATCTCTGGACAGACAAAATTAGTGCGACCCATTTGTTTTAGAGAGTAATCGGAGAGTATGAAGTAATGAATATCAAAAATCTACTTTTCCAGTACAAATGCTGGTCAAGGTAACTTTGTTTTTAAATCTTGAAAAAGAAAAAAATGATGATCAAATTTTGCAGTGCTGAATTATTTTAAGGTTGATTATATGTTTGAATGTGTAAATGGTGCATGCGCACACACACACACACACACGTGTGTTTGTGTGTGTGCGCGCATATATATACATACATATATACATATATACATATATACATATATACATATATACATATATACATATATACATATATACATATATACATATATACATATATACATATATACATATATACATATATACATACATACATACATACATACACACACATACATATACACACATACATATACACACATACATATACACACATACATATACACACATACATACACACATACATATACACACATACATACACACACACACACACACACACACACACACACACACACACACACACACACACACACACACAACGCACATACACACACACACACGCACACGCACATACACACACACACCACAACACACACACACACACACACACACACACACACACACACACACACACACACACACACACACACACACACACACACACACACACACACATATATATTATATGGGCTGAAATATCAGGATTTGACATACCCAGAATTTTAAATAGTTATTATAGATGTGTATTTATCATTATGCCCTGAAAATTGCAAAAGTATCCCTTGTTTTCAGCAAACATCTTCGGCTGCTAGCAGCACAGCCATGACATCTTCAGAGGGATTACCAACATCACAGCTGACAGCAACATCAATGGCAGCAGAAAATCCTCTCCAGAAGTTGTTAATGCAACTGCAGCGTGGCCAGCAAACGGGCATGACGCCAATTGTGCCTCCAAGTGGGCCATTAGGGGTGTCTGTCTCTGGAGGTACTGTGCCAGGAATGCCTGCTGCAGGAATCCCTCTAGACAAGCCCCCAGAGCAGCAGTTTGATGCTATCCAGTCCTTGATGCAGCAGCTGACCAAGATGCAACCTCCCACGCCAGAGCAGGTGAGGAACTGCAAGATGAGACGAGACACTTTGGGTAGGGGATTAGTGCTGAAGATATAGGAAATTAATTGAGATGAAAAATGTTATGGAAAATGACAGAACTTATTTGCTTTCTCAATTCAGGAAGAGCAGCAGAGAAGACTTGAGGAAGATCAGAAGCGCATAGAGGAAGAACGGAGACGCCTAGAGGACCAGAAGAGAGTTGAAGAGGAGATAAAGATGGAAGAAATGAGGTAGGCAAAGATCATGTGAAAAGAATTAAGGAAGAAAAAGATAATGATTGGAAATACTGTTCCCAAAGGATGAAGAAAGAAATGAGGCTGTGTGCATCCTAAGACATTCTCACCACATGCCTCAAAATACATTTGTTAAATGTTTTGCTAGTTTAAACTTTCATCTATATTACAGTCATCAAAATGTTCACATTAATGCACTACAGTTATGAGAGTGTTGTGAATTAAATTGAACTTATCAATAATTTTGTTATAGATGAAAGTTTAAACTAAGAAACTATTTCATGAATGTATTTTCAGGCAACTGGTTTGAGAACAACTGTAGATGCACTTGCCTTTAAATAATATTGGAAAAAAATTATGTTGGAATAGTTAAGGCTGTAGAAGTGTTTTGGAATAGATTTATTAGGAATGTTAGGGGACGGAAAGCAGCAGTTCCGGCTGTGAATAACGTATTGAGTTAAATCATTGGGTCCAGACGCTTCACTTCCATCAAATGGTCCAAAATACAGGTGTTAGTCTTACTTGAGCAGCCACTCTGATGGGTGTGCAGCTTGTAGGCTGGGTGGACATGAACACTTGTGTGCATAAGTGGTTTTAATTTTTTTTGCTATTTCCCAGTGTCTGTATTTGTCGTCTGATTTGCTTTATTCAGATATTGATCGACTGTTTTTCTTGCAACTCTGTCATCTCTCTAGCTAGTCCATAACTCGGTGCAAAAATTGTAACAATAAGTAACATTTTGCTATTTGTGTCATTTTATTATTTTTTGGTAATATGACATTTTTTTTGTAATACACCCAGCACTGTCAGTCATGGCGGTCAGGAATAGGATCCTGAGCATGGAATTAGTGTCCTCCCTGGAGCTGACGCTCTTCCAGTCATGACTCACGGACAGTACATTCCACACTCATTTATCGATGGAATAATGCAAAAGCCCCTTCCTAAACGGCCAATGAGTCTATTCACCCTCCAAGAGCCTTGTGCACTCATGGTGAGTCATGCCAGTCACCCCGGCCTTCAGCCGAAATTCTCATGATGGCAAGTTTGCGTCACCCAGCCCACAGCCAGATTTTCCCATGACAAGTTCATGTCACCTGCCCCACAAGCTAGATTTTTTCATGATGTGATGGTCACATCATCCTGATCATGGGGTTAAGGTGACCACCTGGGAGGTCTGAAGTCTTGCCCAATTTGCATAATTTTTAGTATGTTGAATATATGCATCAACAATTGTTAACCACCAGATCAGTATAAGGAAATTAAACAAAAGAATCAAGATCCTTAAAGGATATGTTGTTTACAAACCACAAACAAATGTCAAAATGCTTTCTTGCTTTCCTGCAGTGGTTTCATTCAGTCATGGGAGTATTAGTGACATCAGACACTACCTGTTATCCTTTTCAAAGGTATTACATACTCAAAGATGTGGTTATCAGGAAGCATGGGGCACTTTACCAGTGAAATGACTGCCTGCATTTGTGTCCCAGAAAAATATGTAGTTTGTACTGTAGCTTCTCTCAGGCTAAGGAACATTTTTTGTGTTATTTATATGTTTCTTATGGCATGATAGGGTGGCAAGGAGATGAGGTTGAGCATCGGTTGGTGTTGAGGTACATTCCCTAAAATGTCCTTCTGCAAGTGAACTTGATTTTTTTTTTTCTGAAATCATGACAGAGTTTCAAATTTGGTGGGTGTGTAACTTGGATGCCACCAGATGCAGCAAGAGAATGGTGGAGAGGAGTAGGAGATTGGGATGAGGGATGAGAGACAAGGGAGAGGGAAGCAGCAAGTACTACTCTGTGTATTTTGAAGTTCTTTCTTGAAAAATTGTAAGCTCTCAGAGGTTGCAGATGTGAGAAAAAAAACTTATGGGCCTGCAAAATTTTGAATGGTGTGTGTCTGTATAGGCTGTACTTCAAGTTTAGTTTGTAGGCAAGAGAAGCAGAAACTGTTTATCCTTCCATTATAGGCAAAATCTGCTGGTGCTTTTCTCCATCTCATATCCCTGGAGCTTTTCTGTGAAATCTGATGACATAAACTTCCTTCTTGGTCTCATTGTAAAAGATAAAGGCTTTCATAAAATTTATCAGTGATGATAATAAAATGAAAAAAAACAAAAAAAAAAATTATCATCTTGACTTGATAGTTTGCTTGTCTGAAAAAAGCTATTCCCACATCTTTATTTGCTTATTTACTTTATTTGCTAACTCACTCACTCACTTGGTAAAAGAAAGTAATTTTCATAAACTCATTCTTTCATTCCTAAATCTTATGACAGAGGGGCTGTCAACATACGGTAAGTACATTATTCATGTCATTGATTTCAAAGGATACCAGGCAAAGGAAATCAAAAGGTACCCACATGTCACAGGGCACAGTGTTAAAAAAAAGTTGTCAAAATCATTAACCCATTGGATCCAGTTGCTCACAGCTCATACGTGGATCAAAATCCAGTTATCAGGTAACGCTGGTAACATCGGGCAAGAAATAGGTCCCTGCGAGTGGACATAGTGTCCACCTTGGAGATAGCTTTCTCCCAGGCATGGCTGATGGTACACACTACCCTTGTGGACTGTTGAAAATCCTGCAAAGGCTCCCTGAGTCAGTCTGCCTCCAAGTACATTGTGTACTTACCTGCCACTTACCTACCTTACCTGCCACATGGCAACAGTTTCCTAGGGTACCAAGTTTCTGTTGTCTGCCCCTTGGCCGATTTTGATTATTTTATTTATTTATGCATTTTATTATTATTATATATTTTTTCCCTCATTATGAGATTCTCCTTTCCCCTGCCCCTAGCCCGTTTTTTTTAATGACAAGACATATGTCATTTGGATCCAGTGGATTAACCCAAGGAATTTTTTATGTAGACCCAATCCATCTGGATGAAAATCCTAGTAGGCAACTTCCAAGCTAATTCCCGCCTCATCACCTTCATTTATTGCAAATATTTTGTATTTTTGTATTTATTTGTTTTTATTTATTATTTTTTCCTTGGTTTCCTTTTTACTGATTTTAATATTACTGAACCATTTTCAAAGAAAATATACCGAAAAAAAAACACTTACCATAAAATGTTGCTGAAATTGTTTGGGTCAAAAAGCGGATGGAGCTAATGACATCACCACATTCAGCCAATGATATTGAGCCGTGAAATATCAGAAATAGCTAAATATGTAAATATTTGTATGATTTCTTTAATATTGTTATACTTGCCAGTTTCTTTCTGAGAGTTTCTTTTCATTAACAGTCAACTGAATATTCTTGGAAAAAAGTTGATTTCATTTTTGGGTTTAAATGCAAGTGGGGTTATATGTACCTAGGGTTAACCTATGTTTTCATTTGTGATAGTGTATCTGGCTGTAAGATTTTATAAAAATACGTCCATGAAAAGACAAACAATGCATTTGTTATTATAGAAATTAGGAATAATAACTTTTTCTATAGCCTGAAAAGAAATGGTGGACTGGCAGCAGCATAAACAAATACAGTAAGTCCCCAACTTAAGAACATAATGGGGACCAAGAGGCTGTTTGCAAGTTGATTTGTTTGTATGTCGAAAGTCGGGTCTCCATTACCTTTTTTCCCATTGTTTTAAAGTTTTGTTTGCATTAAGAATACCTGTAAATAAATCCCAATAAGTACGACATACATTATACAGTACCAGACTCTTGAACTATATTCGTGCCCGGGAAATTTGAAGTATGCTAGCATCTTTCAAACAATTTTTTGGATTTTAGTATTTAAAACATTTAGTTTGTATGTATGGAATGTTCATAAGTAGAATGTTCTTAAGTAGGGGACTAACTGTATATAAATAAATGACAGAAAGATAATGCAGGTAACACGAGAGAAATACAAACATTTTTAAGAGTTGAGTGATCTTTACAGTGCCTTGAAGCCCTATTCCCTTCTCCTTTCGCAACAGACTAAAAGAGGAACTGAAACGGCAAGAGGAACAGCGGAGAACTTTGGAAGCCCTCCGCCGGCAGCACGAAAAGGAGAAAATGAGGTTAGAAGAGGAGAGACGGAAGATCAAAGAAGAACAGATCAGGAGACAGGAGGAAATAAGGAGAATTGAAGAGGAGAAGTTGAGGAAAGAAGAGGAGGAGAAGAGAAAAAAAAAAAAAAAAAAAAAAAAAAAAAAAAAAAAAAAAAAAAAAAAAAAAAAAAAAAAAAAAAAAAAAAAAAAAAAAAAAAAAAAAAAAAAAAAAAAAAAAAAAAAAAAAAAAAAAAAAAAAAAAAAAAAAAAAAAAAAAAAAAAAAAAAAAAAAAAAAAAAAAAAAAAAAAAAAAAAAAAAAAAAAAAAAAAAAAAAAAAAAAAAAAAAAAAAAAAAAAAAAAAAAAAAAAAAAAAAAAAAAACACTTACCATAAAATGTTGCTGAAATTGTTTGGGTCAAAAAGCGGATGGAGCTAATGACATCACCACATTCCGCCAATGATATTGAGGCCGTGAAATATCAGAAATAGCTAAATATGTAAATATTTGTATGATTTCTTTAATATTGTTATACTTGCCAGTTTCTTTCTGAGAGTTTCTTTTCATTAACAGTCAACTGAATATTCTTGGAAAAAAGTTGATTTCATTTTTGGGTTTAAATGCAAGTGGGGTTATATGTACCTAGGGTTAACCTATGTTTTCATTTGTGATAGTGTATCTGGCTGTAAGATTTTATAAAAATACGTCCATGAAAAGACAAACAATGCATTTGTTATTATAGAAATTAGGAATAATAACTTTTTCTATAGCCTGAAAAGAAATGGTGGACTGGCAGGAGCATAAACAAATACAGTAAGTCCCCAACTTAAGAACATAATGGGGACCAAGAGGCTGTTTGCAAGTTGATTTGTTTGTATGTTGAAAGTCGGGTCTCCATTACCTTTTTTCCCATTGTTTTAAAGTTTTGTTTGCATTAAGAATACCTGTAAATAAATCCCAATAAGTACGACATACATTATACAGTACCAGACTCTTGAACTATATTCGTGCCCGGGAAATTTGAAGTATGCTAGCATCTTTCAAACAATTTTTTGGATTTTAGTATTTAAAACATTTAGTTTGTATGTATGGAATGTTCATAAGTAGAATGTTCTTAAGTAGGGGACTAACTGTATATAAATAACTGACAGAAAGATAATGCAGGTAACACGAGAGAAATACAAACATTTTTAAGAGTTGAGTGATCTTTACAGTGCCTTGAAGCCCTATTCCCTTCTCCTTTCGCAACAGACTAAAAGAGGAACTGAAACGGCAAGAGGAACAGCGGAGAACTTTGGAAGCCCTCCGCCGGCAGCACGAAAAGGAGAAAATGAGGTTAGAAGAGGAGAGACGGAAGATCAAAGAAGAACAGATCAGGAGACAGGAGGAAATAAGGAGAATTGAAGAGGAGAAGTTGAGGAAAGAAGAGGAGGAGAAGAGAAAGATCCAGGTAAGAGTAGGGGAAGCAGCAGATGGTACGCAAGGGGGGGTTGGTGGTTTTAGGGATGCAGCCAAGGAAGGGAAGTGGAGCACCAGGACTTGAGGGAAATAATTGACAGGACTCTGAGAAAGGTGTCAGTAGCTGAAGTATTTTGGAAAATTTAAAATCTGTTGAGAATATAGGCTGAAGCAGAGAACAGTGTTTAAACAAAGAAGTCTGTTCCTGACCTAATTTAACTCTCATCTTCTGTCTGTTGCCCAAGGACCAGCAGAGAGCAGCTGAGGTGAAGCGGAGGCAAGAGGAAGTGCGCCAGGAAGAGCTGCGGCAGGAGGAACTTCGGAGACAGCAGCAGCAGAAGCAGAAGCAGGAGGAAGCTACTAGAAGGAAAGAGGAAGCAAGAAGGAAAGAAGAAGCAAGAAGGCAGGAAGAGGCAAGGAGGCAAGAGGAGGAAAGGAGAAGGCAAGAGGAGGAGAGGAGGAGGCTCGGCAGCAAGCCCAGATTCAGGAAGAGATGAGGAGGATTGCTCTGGAGGAAGAACGCAGACATATGCAGCAGGTCAGTGCCGTAGGTTACTAGGGGCAAGGGGCTCGTATCTAAGGGTGACTATAGGCAGTGTTTGGGTTAAAGGGTGCGTATCTATTTGGCTCAGCCTCTATAATTAGGAAAATTGTATTTCACTGATTGTTATATGTAATGGTATAAAGGTGTCTATTTTTTTTTTAAAGGCTGAGTAAGCTGCTAAATTATATTGGACAGCTGATCTAGAAAGAGTAGTGATAATGATTCAGAAGTTAATGAGAATGTTCTCCCTGCAGATAGAAGAGGAAGAACGCAAGCGCCAAGCTGAAGAGGAAGAGAGGCGGCACCAACACCTCCTGCAGGAACACCTCAAAAATATATTACCAGCATGGAACAAACCTCCTCCAGTGGCAGCACCTGAGGCTGCACCTGCACCATCTCTTGCAGATATTCAGAGAGCACAGGAAGAGAAAGAGAGAAGGGTCAGTATCCCTTAAGCTCTGCCATCGTAATAGGTGCACATCAGTCCACCTTTCTGATGTAGGAATGTGCCAATTTGAGCTGGAACATTAACTGCCAGAATTTCCTTACTGAACATGACACTCCATTGCAGTATGTGGTGATGGAGATGGTGGCAAAAAGCCTGAATAGGATATTGACGACCACATAGGCAGCTGATTATTAGAATAGGCAAAGTGAAAGCATTGTTGTGGTATAAAGTGCAAATATTAAAGATGAATATTAGACACATGATTATGTATGTATATGAAAGAAGTGTTATAAGATGGAAATATTAAAAGTGAATTTTACACAGAGTAATGATATGTTTACATGTACTTATGTAATAATTACAATTCAATTATTAACATCAGGAAAATGATAATCATCTTCATTTCTCTCTGTCTTTTTTTTTCTCCACAAAGCTTGGCATTGAGGGGCTGATATCAATAACCAGATCAGGAAATAGTTGAGGTATATTGCAAGGTTTCCCTTCATTGTCCTTGCAGGAGCGTGAGATGGAGCAACAGATGCAGCAACAGAGACAAAGAGAAGCACAGAGACAAGCAGCCGAGGAAGCCAGGCAGAAGAATGCAGGGTTGAAGTGGGCAGCTCGTGCTCAGGCCAATCCAGCAGCACAACAGCCTGTCAAATCCCTCTTAGAGATTCAGGCTGAGGAGGAGAAGGAGCTGAAGAAGGTCAGTCAGAAGACAATCAGGTCAAGTGGTAGCCTTGGATAATAATGATGATTGATTATTTTCATCATAAGCTTTTGTTATATCGTTATTATTAGTGTTTTGTCCACCTTAATTAGTATAAATGGTGCCATAAGCCTCTAACCAGTAGATATTTCTTGCCATAAGCAGCATAAAGATAGCCCTTTCTAGAAGCAGCTTATCTTGGCTAAATTCCAGAGAATCTATAGCTTTTCTCCCTTTTATACATAACTGTGCCCCCCCCCCCCCCCCCTACAGAGACAGGAGAAGGAGGCTGCCGAACGTGCAGCTGCTGTCAGCCACCTGAGTTTGGGAGCTGCAGGTGTCTGGGGGTCAGCCATGTCCAACCTCTCCTGGGCCAACCGTGCCTCCACAGCTGCTCCCTCACCCTCACCCAACAATATGTCTAGTCAGCAGGTGAGCCCAAGAGGTTCTCAGTCAACAAATGGATTCTTTGAAGTGTGCTAATAAAAACATTACTTATACATGCCAGCCATGGTGTTCCTAGTGTACATGACTATTTACAAGAGCCTTTTTTTTTTTTACAGTGGGGGGGAGCGAATGGTGGGCACCCTGGCTCAGGTAATCAGTGGCACAACAATAGTCAGTCTTCAGCCCCAACCAATGTAGGTCACTCAGTGTGGAATAAGGACCATTCTTCCATCTGGAACCAGTCAGAAACTCCTGCCTCTGCAGGTAAGCACAAACTGCTACCTACCTACCTACCTACCTACCTACCTACCTACCTACCTACCTACCTACCTACCTACCTACCTACCTACCTACCTACCTACCTACCTACCTACCTACCTACCTCCCTACCTACCTACCTCCCTACCTACCTACCTCCCTACCTACCTACCTACCTCCCTACCTACCTACCTCCCTACCTACCTACCTCCCTACCTACCTCCCTACCTACCTCCCTACCTACCTACCTACCTCCCTACCTACCTACCTCCCTACCTACCTCCCTACCTACCTCCCTACCTACCTCCCTACCTACCTCCCTACCTACCTCCCTACCTACCTCCCTACCTACCTCCCTACCTACCTCCCTACCTACCTCCCTACCTACCTCCCTACCTACCTCCCTACCTACCTCCCTACCTACCTCCCTACCTCCCTCCCTCCCTCCCTACCTACCTCCATATACATATTGATATACCTTCACATTATACATACACATTCATATTCAGTATACCTTCACATTTATACACATGCATACGTACATATACTTGTACATACCTTGCTTCCAATACCTAATGCAGTTGGCTTACTCTCTCCCAGCAGGTGGATTCTGGGACAACCCAGAGCCAGTGAAGGTTAACAAGGCTGTGACATCAACGGGTCGTAATCCTGGGAAGCCAAACCCTCAGAATCCTGGGAGCAAGCCTGGGGCTCCTGCACAAAATACAAATAATAACCGAGCCAGCAAGAAGAAGGTGAAAGATGAGAGTGACAATGTTAAGAAATTATTTGCCGACAGCATATCTCCGGCTGATAGTTTCACACAGTGGTGCAAAGGCTCACTCCACACTATGAAAGTACATGCCTCCATTGACAGTAAGTAGCGGACTCCCGTGCCCAGTGTCTGGCCTTTGCCAGAAATCACCAGTCTATCACGCTCAGGGATTTCTGTTACCCAGTGATGATGGGTTAAAGGGATGCCTTCTCTTAGCTTTAGACTTATTTCATGGAGACATTGATGGATACTATCCTGTATTTACACACCTGTAGTTCCTTTTTTAAAGAAATTTATGCAGAATGACTGATATAGCATGGTAGTTCATTTTAAAAAAGTGTATCTTGTGTGGATGTAAGTAAGGCAGAAATGGTCAATTTTCAAAGAAAAGCATTTCATTTCATAATGTCTCTGAAACAGTTAAAGACATGAGTTAACATGAATGGCATGCCTTTTTTTTCCTCTTCTTACAGGGTTTTGGATTAAAACTCTGTGGAAGTATAAGAATAGAACACAGAGAAAAGTAATGACTTTCTCTTCCAGTTCCAACGTTTGTGACTTTCCTCTCTGAGGTGGAGTCCCCATATGAAGTCCATGACTACATCCGTTCATATTTAGGGGACAGCAAGGAAGTTAAGGAGTTTGCTAAGCAATATCTGGAACGGCGAAGTAAAGCTCGCAATGCACAGAAGGAACGTGAGGTGGAGGATGATATCCTGGCTCCTGCCCCTGCTGTGAATCCAACCAGCACAGAGTTCCAGGAAGTCAAGGTAAAAGAGTGATTTTATACTCTTCTGTCATGCAAGTCAGTTCTCTTCATGTTTATAAAGTCACACATTATGAGATACATGTTTTGCTATGAGGAGCCTTCTCGCTCCCCTTGGCATAAGTTTTATCTTGGGAGACCATTTGGAGCTTTGCCAAGTGTAACCCATTGCTCATTCACTCTTCCTGCAGGCTCGAAGCAAGAAGGCCAATAAGAAGAAAATGCAGAAGGTTGACAACAGTATCCTTGGATTCAGTATAACCTCCAATGATCGCATTAATGTTGGGGAGCGTGACTATGCAGACTAATGGCGGGTTGAAGTTGCGATAGCAATGAACAGTGATTGGGTGCTGGAAGTGACTGAGACGGGATTATAACCTTTACCTTGTGGGCCCTTCACCCTCAGGGATGCCTGGCTGTAACATGTGGCTGTGTTTGTACCACATCATGTTGCACACTCAAAATTAAAGAAAATCTGTTTCATTGATATTTTTTAGAGTTTTTTCCCCTTGAACAAATGTTAAAAGCAAAACAGGGTGAGGTGGCAATCAGTCTCCGGGAAAGTAGATAGCTTGATTTGTATCTTCACATAATGAGCAAGTTTTAATCAAAGATCAGCTTTCCGGTTAAAAGAAAACTATAAATTATTAGTTATACTTACACCAAGTATAAAGGAAACAACATTTATGCAAATAGAAATTATATTGGTAATCCTTTTTCTGAATGCTATATGTGAATTGCCACACTTGACTCTGTAGAGTTGTTCAAACATATTGCTTTATTTTTCTGTGAAAGTTTTATACATTTTCTTTGAGTGAAGATAAGTTAACCAGTGTGTTTTAATGGTACACATTACAAGTGTTGGATTACATCCTCCAGCCATATGCATAATTATCAGCCATGTCAGTTCATTAAATGTAAGGTAAATTCTTATCTGTGATAGATTCATGCTTGCAAACCAGGTATGTAAAGAGGGGCCAAAGAAGCAGACTTGCTCTTGGCTTGTGTTGTGACCACTGTACTCCTAATTTGCCACCTGTCCATGCTCATCCTCCTATCAGTATTATATATCTGATCATTTCATTATATTTCATACACAGCAACCTCAGAGTCAAGCAAATCTTGTTTAGGAACAGTGAATAGGTAAAAGCATGTTTAATCATATGATTATTATTATTTGTAAAACATTTTGAGAATTTTTTTCCCCCCTTTTCTCATGTCATCAGATGTCTATATATGCCGATACAAGAAAGTAATTTTGTGGTATATGTCACTTGTTTACTAGATTTTTTTTTTTTTTTTCAATGCACAGAAGGAACGTGAGGTGGAGGATGATATCCTGGCTCCTGCCCCTGCTGTGAATCCAACCAGCACAGAGTTCCAGGAAGTCAAGGTAAAAGAGTGATTTTATACTCTTCTGTCATGCAAGTCAGTTCTCTTCATGTTTATAAAGTCACACATTATGAGATACATGTTTTGCTATGAGGAGCCTTCTCGCTCCCCTTGGCATAAGTTTTATCTTGGGAGACCATTTGGAGCTTTGCCAAGTGTAACCCATTGCTCATTCACTCTTCCTGCAGGCTCGAAGCAAGAAGGCCAATAAGAAGAAAATGCAGAAGGTTGACAACAGTATCCTTGGATTCAGTATAACCTCCAATGATCGCATTAATGTTGGGGAGCGTGACTATGCAGACTAATGGCGGGTTGAAGTTGCGATAGCAATGAACAGTGATTGGGTGCTGGAAGTGACTGAGACGGGATTATAACCTTTACCTTGTGGGCCCTTCACCCTCAGGGATGCCTGGCTGTAACATGTGGCTGTGTTTGTACCACATCATGTTGCACACTCAAAATTAAAGAAAATCTGTTTCATTGATATTTTTTAGAGTTTTTTCCCCTTGAACAAATGTTAAAAGCAAAACAGGGTGAGGTGGCAATCAGTCTCCGGGAAAGTAGATAGCTTGATTTGTATCTTCACATAATGAGCAAGTTTTAATCAAAGATCAGCTTTCCGGTTAAAAGAAAACTATAAATTATTAGTTATACTTACACCAAGTATAAAGGAAACAACATTTATGCAAATAGAAATTATATTGGTAATCCTTTTTCTGAATGCTATATGTGAATTGCCACACTTGACTCTGTAGAGTTGTTCAAACATATTGCTTTATTTTTCTGTGAAAGTTTTATACATTTTCTTTGAGTGAAGATAAGTTAACCAGTGTGTTTTAATGGTACACATTACAAGTGTTGGATTACATCCTCCAGCCATATGCATAATTATCAGCCATGTCAGTTCATTAAATGTAAGGTAAATTCTTATCTGTGATAGATTCATGCTTGCAAACCAGGTATGTAAAGAGGGGCCAAAGAAGCAGACTTGCTCTTGGCTTGTGTTGTGACCACTGTACTCCTAATTTGCCACCTGTCCATGCTCATCCTCCTATCAGTATTATATATCTGATCATTTCATTATATTTCATACACAGCAACCTCAGAGTCAAGCAAATCTTGTTTAGGAACAGTGAATAGGTAAAAGCATGTTTAATCATATGATTATTATTATTTGTAAAACATTTTGAGAATTTTTTTCCCCCCTTTTCTCATGTCATCAGATGTCTATATATGCCGATACAAGAAAGTAATTTTGTGGTATATGTCACTTGTTTACTAGATTTTTTTTTTTTTTTTTTTTTTGTAAACCACTACTTATTTGGAAAATATTTTTTCTTTTTGTCTATGGGTACCCAGAGAGGGAAGAATCCTCAAAAATCACATTAAATGAGACTAAAAATGTAAATTTGTTATTTAGTTATATAGAGTTTTAGGGAAACTGTTTAGGGCATATCATTGTTCTTATTTTCTTCTCTCACAATCACAGTCATCAGTTCATAGATACTTTGGAAACTTTTAGCTTTGGAGCATAATGGAAAAAAAGGAATAAGGAAAAAAAAAAAAAACATTGCTACATGTTCAAGTCTCA